CGGCACGTATTGTGAGGAAGTTTCTGTCTCTGGAGTCCTAACCACCGATATCTTGGTCTCTGTACCCGATACCGATGGGATACTATTTTTTATATTTTTAAATGTATTTTTTTTTGTTTTTGTATATAAATATATTTAAAAATGTAATTTATATGTATAAATAATGAAATAAAGAAATAATAATAATAATATGTGCCCGACCCAGTTCTCGAGAATGGTCGGGCCACGTTGTATTGGGATCGATCTATTATCACAGACAGGACTATTGTTGCTAATAAGCCTGATATTGTAGTGATAGATCGATTAGAGCGCCGCGCAATGATTGTTGATATCGCCGTTCCTCATGACGAGAATCTCGTGAAAGTTGAAAAAGAAAAACAAATCAAATATTTGGATTTATCTCACGAGATTGTCGATATGTGGAATGTTGATTCAGTGATCATTGTTCCGATAGTCGTATCTGCTCACGGATTGATAGCCAAGAGCCTCGACCAACACCTTAAGAGGTTCACGTTAGACGGGTGTATCAAGGGTCTGATGCAGAAGGCAGTGCTCCTTGACACGGCTCGTATAGTGAGGAGGTTCCTATCTTTGGAGTCCTAACCACCGGTGTCTTGGTCCCTGTACCCGATGTCGGTGGTCTACTATTTTTTATATTTTTAAATGTATTTTTTTATAATTTTTTATAAAGTATGTTTAAAAATGTAAATAATATGTATATAAAGTAAATAAAGAGAATAATAATAATATTTCGGACATCAGACACACAACGCCATCTAGTTTCAAACTAAGCAGTATTATGAGTACTAACAGTTACTATGAAAACTATATCGACTGATAGAATCCTTCTTTACTATTTTTTGTAAATACATACATATTATTTTAGAGAACACCCAAAACTCCGAAACAAATATTTGCAGATCATACAAATGTTTGGTGCGACCCGGAAATCGAGCCCGAAACCTTAGAACAGCAGTCGCATGCGGTACCACTGCACCACCGAGGGAGTCAAATAAATCTACTTAATTAATATTTGTGTAAACATTTAAATTTTAAATAAATTATACCCATATCTGATATTAATTTGCCGGATCAGCAAGCTGAAGTGGCAGTGGGCTGGCCATATTAGCCACAGAACCGACAACCGTTGGGGAAAACGAGTTCTAGAGTGGAGACCGCGTCTCGGCAAACGTGCCCACCGAGGCAGTAATATCATTAAATAAGTAAATGAAACTATTTAAATAAATAACTAGTTGGCATCTAATTCACAATCACCCATGAGAATTAGAGCTACAAACTTATCAATAATTCTAGGCTAGACATAGTTAATGGTTTTATTGCGTTTTCGTGAAATGAAGTACTTAAGATCCATTACTGAATATCACATTGCTGTAAGTGCAGAGAGCACTTCGAGGTCGACCGGAAATACACCAGATATTAGTGCCAAACTTTTGCTGCTAACTGCTTTATACAATTTAAAGAAAATATCGAAATATCAGTCCCTGTATTGGGGGCGTTATGGCAAATAGTTTTTATAGTTTTTGATAGATCGGGAACGGGTGTCATGTCTCTTCAACACAAAGGGAGGATCCTCCGAGCAGGCGAGGCGAGGTGAGCGTGGGATGGACTCCCGGAGAACCGGTCTACCAACTAAACCCTACGGCGGCCGACCTCGGCAGTCGGGAGGAGCTGCAGGAACGCATCGGCGACTTCTGGAGTCCTCCCTGCCGTACCTCATGACTGAGGCACATCCCGGGGTGACCGTAGTCACCCTGGGGCGGGACTCTTGGAGATGCTGGCGGTGACAGGTTTCGTCCGAACCGTCCCACCAAGATTCGACGTTCGGACTCCCACGCAGGGCAGTCTTCCAGCGTGTACTGGGCGCAGTCCCGGTCGGACCCGCAATAGTGGCATTGTGCCGTGACCTCCCATCTAATTCGATTCAGATACTCACCGAAGCTAATGTAGCATCCCAGGCTCATGATCCGGGCGCGGCCTCTTCACCATTCCGACCGACAGAGCGAACTTGGACATAGACCATCGCGTCCTTGACGTCCAGAATATTGAAGGAAGGTGATCATGCCTGGCCAGTCGCAATGCCTTCAACAGAGGAGGCAATGAGCAAAAAGGTTCCCTACTTTATCTTGACAATGCTTCTTCTGTGTTTATTTGCCACTAGTAAGAAACCTTGCAAGACATAGTTATCGCATGATTCACTGTTAGTTAATAATGGTCAGATATCCCGACCTTTCGGTGTCTGCATTATAAATAAATTGCACCGTGTCGCTGACGTAGTACTGACTATCTGAGAGTTTGGAACGGCGCCATCTTGAATTATTGATAGCCCAGCGACAAGATTGTTAACATTAATAGGTATTTTGAAGAGTTGAAAGACAAATTGGATATTATTTTCTAGTGATTTTTATTTAATTTTTCTTATCTTTTTTATCTTCTTTTTTAAAAAGACAACTCCCGCACTAGGAATAAATCCTGCGTCGCCGTGTATCAGTGAGTAATTCACTCAAATTACCTAAACAGGCAGTAAATGTTCCAGTTGGCATCATTTTCTTTCAACCATCGTTTTTTTAAGGCCAACGATGCTTTTTATGTTGTAAGCACCCACTATGAAAGGAGTTTTAGAAATTTTAACCCAAAAGGAGTAAAATAAGGGATAAACGGTACTTCCATACAAGTATCATTGATTTCAAAGTTAAAAACACGACATAATAAATAAACACGCAAGCGAAGGCCCGGGCAATATCTTGTACTAAATAAATACTACACTTCCCCTCACATTTCCACCTGAATATCATATAATTCCGACGTCTTTATATTTAAGTAGGGCGATACAATGGCACGTTCGCGACACAAATACTCACCGACACCGAAATGGGACTCGTCACAGATGTGTACTAGACATACTCCGTCCACAATTAGGTCAACTCCCCTAGAACAATCTGTCAGACAGGATAAAATCTATCATCTGCTGCTGAGCGCCGCTTAGTGATCCTAACTGCTGGGTTTAATATCGTGGGTGTGCTACTTCAAACAAAAAAAAATATTTATTTATTTAATTATTCTTAGAGAGACTAACAGACATATAACAATTTTGTGTACTTACAGTTAAATAATCTTATTGCTAATAACAAGTCTCTACATATAGGTACGAGTACTCTAAGGAGAACTGTCGACTTAAAATGAGGAGAAGTGTAAGCCTTGGCAGGGATATACATAACACAAATACTATACACATAGATGCATATACACGTATCAGCACATACACATGCGCACACCCCCATGAGTACACATACATACACACACATACAAATACTAACACACTGAGATGCCGATACATAGATGTGTTAAAAAAATAAATAAAGAAAGAACAAAAGAAAATCAAATAAAGAAACAAAGTAGTACAGTTTGAGTGCCACTTTAAGATTCAAAAAATGATTGAGCTAATACCCTTCTAATCGTGTTCACATTATATATAACTAGCTGACCCGCGCAACTTCGTCTGCGTCTCTCAATAGTAATAAATTTTCTCCGTTTTTGAAACATTCTTCATTGGTGCTCCGCTCCTATTGGTCTTAGCGTGATGATATGTAGCCTATAGCCTTCCTCGATAAATGGGCTATCTAACACTGAAAGAATTTTTCAAATCGGACCAGTAGTTCCTGAGATTAGCGCGTTCAAACAAACAAACAAACAAAAAAACAAACAAACTCTTCAGCTTTATAATATTAGTATAGATGATATATGAGTACAATACTACGATACTACGAGTACTATAATGAGTACGTTTCTGCTGTAATTGTAATATATAAGAAGTATGTTTATCAGCAGTCTGTTTACCATACTTTTGGTGGTTCTGTCAAATCAGATGGACGTTTGTGAGACGTGTCACTATTATTATTTTCTACTAACTGAGACCCGCGGTGTTACCCGCGTTTGTTGTTATAACCGCGGGCAACGCCGCGCGGCGAAGCTAGTCTAAAAAAAGTAGCCTAAGTTACTCCTTATGTCATCAGCTATCTGCCAGTGAAAGTCCCGTCGAAATCGGTCCAGCCGTTCCAGAGATTACCCGGAGCAAACAGACAGACAGACAGACGGACAAAAATTGTAAAAAATGTTATTTTGGCATATGTACCGTGTAAACATACATATGTATTTAGTAAAAAGCTGTTATTTTAATATTACAAACAGACACTCCAATTTTATTTATTTGTATAGATTTCATGGGGTCAAACGAGTAGATGCGTTACCTGCTGGTAAGTGACTACCACAGCCTTTAAACACTTGTAAATTAAAAGACAAGCTCTACGACGACCTTAGAATGGCTCCCATGTGTTTTTCTCCGGTATCTTCACTCACTCGGCGAAAAGCCACGAAAGGATTGCATAACACCGGTTTTCTGTGAGGTGTTCACTCCGGTTATGGCCTGTATCAGCCTGACTATTTGTCCTGATAGCGTAAAACGTTATGACAATATTTGTTATAACAGAATGTCGAGATATTTATTTTGTCTCAGCTAAAAGTGTCAACAATTCTCATGGATAATGTCTTGTTACGAATCCATATGCAATTATGTGACTTAGATTTTGTATTGTTTTTTTTTAAATTGGGACTAATCCCACCCACACGCCCACCACTGTAACTCCTGTACACCAGGATCCACAGCAGTAACCCACGAACACACCGAGTTATGACACTCGGGAAGTCCCAGGAAGAAATTAAACTGTCTTGGAACCCGCAACGTAATTAATCAGAAGAAAATTGGAGGAGTTGGAAATACAGTAAATCCACTTCCCTCCTTAGCAAAGCGGGAGACAAAATGAAGTAAAATGGGCATACACTCTTTTAAACAGGGAAGCAAACAGGCAAAAAATAAATAAATAGATACAACACAAATAATAGATTTTGTTTATCATATACAGTTTATACGAGTAGTAACTGTCTTAACAATTTATATAAATTTGTTTGTTTGTTCCAGACAGAGGATGGACATCCCGCGGCCACCATGCGCCCTCCTCGTACTACTTTTGTTGTTCTTCACACACGTTACAGAGTAAGTCGAACAGTATAACAACTGTGTATACATCTGTTTTGTATTTTTGACTCTTCATCACCACTGACCATGGTCCGACGAATCAATAGCCATCACGATCACGAATGATCAATAATTTTATTAAAAAATAAACCGACTTCAACTGAGTTTATTATGTAAAAATAAATACCCAATGTTTTATATACCAAATATCCTTGTACTATATACTAAAACCTTAATGATAATAATAGTATGTTAAACACGTTAGCGAAACAATCAGGTGCGAATGAGCTATTAGTTTTTGGAAAATTGGAATCTGTGATAATTGAACTGAAAGATCTATGAAGCAAAAGACAAGCTCGAAAATCTTTGCGCTTTTAGAAGGTTCATCAACAGCCTTTAACAGTCCACTGCTGGATATAGGCCTCTACTTAGAAAGGAGGTTTTGGCCTACTATACCACGCTGGCCAGACATGTTGGTATAGGGTTTGTTTCAAGTTTTCCTTCTCTCTGCAGTGTTGTTGTCCTGCGTAGTTTTCTCCCTTAGTCGCCTCTTACGACACCCACGGGATGAATAGGGGTGGTGACACTCTTGACAACCTTCTTAATCCGTCACCACACGGACATTTAGAAGGTTAGAAGAGATAACGCTTCTGATGTATCTCATTTCGCGAAGTAACACTCCACAATTCTTCCAATTATACATATTTGGACGAGAGAAGATTTTTAAGAGATACGTAGTCGCAGATTATTTTTTGTACCCACACACGTAACAGAATTTTCCCCTCTGTAATTAAAAAAAACTCATTTAAAAACAAACATATGCATCGAATACATAACGTCTTTTTTACTTTTTAGACAGGCGTTACCTCGATTTAGTGTTGATTGTCATAGCAAATATGCATTCAAATCACGAAAAATTAAATATAATTATGCATAAACATGCAATGTTGCAGTTGTGCATGACGATAAAATTGATCGTTGTATGATTGTAATCTCGTAATCGTTGCATATCTATAATAATAAAACTAAATAATTTATTTGCCAGTTTGTATGTTTAAGCGAATTAAAAAACACATCTCTATTGTACTTCTATTAATACTACTTCTTATCAACTTTTAAAAACTGTTTTCTTTAAACTAACCTCCATGAAATGTTTTTTTAAGACGTTGTCAAAGTTTAAATCTGAAAGAAAGACATGGTAATATTTGAAAGTAATTTTGAAAAATATTTGTACAACACGATGTTGTGGAAATTTAATATACTAATCCTTACTTCATGTTATGAAAACATTTATTTAGGTAGTTGTAATGTAAAAAGATTTCTTATCAAATATAAAATAATTTGTGTGTTTTAATTTAGTTGTCTTAACTAAAAGGTCCATTAGGGGAGCGTCGTTCATTTCCGCAAGTTAAGGAAACTTCTGAAGGCCAAGGGTAAATTGTATTAATGGAAAAATTAACTTATACTAGGCTATTATCAATCAAAGCTTTAGACACATGTATTGTTGTTGTGTGATGACGGATTAAGAAGACAGTGTCACTAGATTTATTCATCCCGTGCGGTTAGACCTTCAAACCTTCAAGAAAAGAGTGTACTCCCTCCTCAAACGCGCTTGTGACTCCTGAGTTGCAGACCTTCATGGGCGGCGGTAGTCGCTTTCCATCAGGTGACCCGTCTGCTTGTTTACCACTCTTCCATAATTAAATAAAAAAAAAACACAACAACAGCACTGCATAGAGGAGGAAAACTTGAAACAAACCCTATACCAACCCGTCTGGCCAGCGTGGTATAGTATACCAAAACCGCCTTTCTAACGAGATCCCTATGTCCAGCAGTGGACTGTTAAAGGCTGTTGATGAGTAATTATTGATGTATAATACCTTTCCTCTTGCTTTCCTGTAATCTGTAAGGGTGATTTCGTGCAAAGAGTTAGGTTTTTTAGTAGTTTTGTAGTTAGGAGTTAGGCCCAGAAAGCGGGCTTTTCGATTTGACCAATGAGAGCGAGTCACTTATACTATCTGAAGGCGAAGTCTAAGTCTAATTGATTCATTTAAATCAATGTCTAAATGAAAATATTTATTCATAATTTATTATAATTGTATCTGCAATTTTATGACTTGTAACGTTAGTAGATACAGACATACTAAATCCAAATATATTTTATCTTGGCTTACGGCGTTTGAAATTTATGTTTCATTCAACTGAGACATCGTAAAATGTTTAATGATGATGGATGCTAGTTACAACATTGATATACGTGATTTTAAGTCTTTAATCCTTTAATGATTTAGTAACAGCATTAAAAGATATGCTTTTATTAATTTTATGACTACTACACTAAATAATCGGGACTTAGAAAGACATTCACGGCAATAATATGCATTTGGTGGTCTTAGAACTTGACGAGTTGCTGCGATAAATAGGAAGTATCGTCAAAAGTCAGACATAGCGAGTTTAAATGGTTGATAATAGTTTTTGTTATTATTCTCCTCTCCGTCTGCGATTCACGTTAGAAAATGTAAACAAAGCGCTCTGTAATTTCGCACGAATATATAAAATAACCAAGGCGACAAACTAGTTAAGTAGGGGAGGTCGCCTACACGTAAAGTGGGGGATTTTCATATTTAGTTCTCCGAGGTTCTATAGGTTGAGTACCTTTGGATTGGCCTTTTTGATAAAAAGTACGTTTTGTGACGGATTAAGAATACAAATTGTCACTATCCCTCTTCATCCCGTTCCTTCGTCGTATGAGCCGACTTAGCGATCAAACTACGCAGGAGAACAGCACAGCAAAAAGAAGGAAAACTTGAAACAAACCCTATAATACCCCGTCTGGCCAGCGTGGTATAGTAGACCAAAACCTCCTTTCTAAGGAGAGGCCTATGTCCAGCAGTGGACTATTAATATTAAAGGCTTTTCATGTTATGATGTTATGGTAAAAGAGAGGGGTTGTGAAGTCTATTATGCAATTGAATAATAGGTTTGAGAAAAATATATTAAAATTTAAAGTGTAAAGATAATCATTGAGTCATTTAAAAACACTGTAAAACATATTTCATTGTATGTGGAAGCCACAAAATTACTTAGATCAAGTTGTTATTTTTTAAATTTAGTTATACGGAAGCCTATACTGCCCAACGGCCCGTACACCCCGACACGCAATCGAGTGTTTTTGAAGTAAAACTTGTTTACGCACGCTTGACTTGGGGAGTGAGCTGGTGAATGCGTTACGAGAGCGTTACGAAAAGTGTGATCGGAAACGGAAGTTGAGAGGGAGATATAAGTTAGTGAAAATAGGAAGGGGTAAGAGAGAGAGGTGCGAGCACACATTTTCTTTCTCTCTTTCTCTCATTGAAAATAAATTTTACTTCAGTCCTGTGGTCTAAAGCACATTCTTTTTTTTTTATATTCCGTTCACTAAAGTTGGATCTGATACGTCCTGGCTAATGGACGAAATATATTACAATTATAACACAAGTCTGTTTTCATTGCGACTTGTACTAATTGTTCCCAACTAATTATCGATAATAATCAGCGTTGGGTTATTACATCGCTCTTTAAATAGAAAACACAAAGAGTATGAATCATGAGCTCGTGGCTGCCATACAATTTATTTATTTTTTGTTATAGTAAATTAAAGTAACTTGCTTTATTATATAAATCAGTCATGTGCGTTAACTGACTAGTTTGTACTATTATAAAACTGAAGTTTGTTTGTTTGTTTGGTTGAACGCGCTAATCTTAGAAATTACTGATTCGAATTAAAAAGTTCTTAGTGTTCGATAGACCATTTATCGATGAAGGCTATACCGAGGCCGGTATCTATATACCTATCAATAAAAAATGTTGCAAAAACGGGGGAAAATTATTCCTTTTCAGTGCTTCCGATGCTTGGCATGTTTTGCCATTGATTTTTCTTTCGTAGTACTTTAAACATGTTTCGTTTGACTGTACTATTTTTGGCTTGAACAATAGATTTTGTATTCATTTATATCGGTGGTCCCAGTCACCGGAAGACAAATATTCAAATTAAATGAGCCGGCAAATGGGACTCCGGTCCTAGTTAATTGCGGTCCGAATATCCGGCACCCTCTTGTTTCGAATACTGCATCTGTTGGAGTGTACTTATGACCTAAGAAGTCAACATCATCATCATCAACAGCCTATATAGTCCACTGCTGGACATAGGCCTCTCCTTAGAAAGGAGGTTTTGGCCTATTATACCACGCTGGCCAGACGGGTTGGTATAGGGTTTGTTTCAAGTTTTCCTTCTCTTTGCAGTGCTGTTGTCCTGCTTAGTTTGCTCCCTTAGTCGGCTCTTACGACACCCACGGGATGAATTGGGGTGGTGACAATTTGTATTTTAAATCCGTCACCACACGGACAAGAAATCAACACAACTGCCTAATATTTATTTGAGAACGCCGCACTACGTGACTTTGCTTGGAACGATAATGGCGGAAGGATGCGACCGGTATTAGTCCGAACAGTTCCTCGGAGCACTCTTCATAATATATATGTACGATAGAGAATGCAGAGCAAAGCTACATCTCTACGTAACGCCAAGGTATCGAGCTGGTTGGAGATCTTTTGACTATTTCTATTGTCATTGGTGTTCTTTAAGTCCCCTCCCACCAAAATCAGAGGCAGGGTGAGTTTGAGCTTCAGGAACCTCAATTACTCAGTGAAACGTTACCAAAGAACTGCTTTACAGTAGTTTTCTGTGAGGCCGTGGTATTACGTAGCTCGAGTCTCTTCTACGTTGAAAATTAGTTGAGCCTTGTAATTTTTGCCAACTTAGTTATGTATAAAAGCTACAAAAGAGTTCTCAAATAGACAAATTATTAACGTAATGACCATTCGTAAATATATTTAATAACAAAGTATACACAAAATACGACTCTCATAAATCTGTCACAATTTTTACTGCACAAAATGGCGGAACCATAGATAAATCCGTTTACAGATGACAAATTCACGTCATTTAGCTCCAAGAAAATACTCTGTTCTATCTAATG